GGCAGAAGGTGGCTGTGGCAAATGGCAGAAGGTGGCTGTGGCAAATCAGTTCTCAAATGCTGCCAAGAAAATTGTGTGTCCACGAAATCACCAGCAATTAAAATAATTCTGGTAATCAACATTGCATTTTTGAACATTTTGGGGGAAGAACTATGCATAGAAATAGGCTATTGCAATATCAGGGGGCATCAGGGAATAATCATGTTTCCAGAACCTGTGCAATATTGCAGATGTGTCAAATTTTATATTTAGTAAAAACTTGCCAAATTTGAGAATATTCTGTTGAGGATCGGATTGAGCATGTGATTGATTCCCACCTTGCATCAAGTCAGTGTGTGCTTTTTTTTTGGGGGGGGGGTGTTAATATGTTACCCAGCCAAAAGAAATATGTTAAACCAACCAAATTTTAGTGTGTTGTGTAATCTATTCTATGATACCATTATATTTAAATGTTGCTGAATTCCAAATAGAGATTGTTCTGAAGTTGTTGTTTATGCAGTGGTGCATATTTGGATGTTTTCTCAGTAATTATATTAAATTGCTCATTTGTTTTATATGCCTACTGACTGTATTGGATCACTTGGGTCCAATTAAAACAGTCAAACTCATATTCTATTGAAATCAATGTGGAAGTACCAGGTTAAAATCCCAATTATTTCAATGACGTATGTATCCTCCCAATTATTTCAATGACGTATGTATCCTGAAACCAATCCATATTACATATATATTAACATATATGTGTATTTTTATTAAATATAGTTAATGTAGGCTCTTGCTATCATTAAAATATTCCATATGATGTTTTAATCCAATATTAATTTGCAAATTAAGTATAATTTTCACTGGACATCCTTCAATATAAGGTAGACCATTAGCAAAAATGTGGATTAATCAGACTTTCTGTATGTGGCATCTTCCAATTCTTTTGAACTCCATTCACCCTCACATACTACAATCACTGGGCAGATGGACATGTATGGCAGTAGTTATAATCTAAAACTTAAGTAAGCTAAATTAGAGAAATATACATTACATAATATATACATGTTGGCATAACGTATGGACTTCATAGAATTTAGTTTTCAGAGAAGTCAACAAGCATATTTACATACAATTCAAAAGAGATAAGTAAAAGCTAGAAAAGAAACAAAAAGAGCGGAAAACATTCTGTCCAGCAATCAACACCCAAACAAGTAGAAATTAACAAAAGGATTAACACCAGGCAAACAAGCAGTAACCAAAACCCTAATCAAGGAACTACCAACTCAGACAATCAAGCAGTAAACAACAGTCCAATCAAGGAATTATCAAGAAGAAAACATCACCCCTATCAACACTGACAGGGCAAGCTATTAAAATATATACATAAACAGAGAGCAAACCCCCCTCCCTTCCAGCACTGAAAACATTACCGAGCCTGATAATGCAACTTCTGCATGAAAACACCCAAATTCAGAGAGCACCAAGCACTCCACAACCAAATTAGTTCCAATGAAATTATTTCAGTTTCCTCAATTGAATGAAATATTTTATAACAGATACGTAGGATCACTGGAGTTAGACAAAATACTATTTAACTTTTTCTTAAGCTTTTAGCTTTGCAGCTGTAATGGCACTTATAAGGTCTGGTTACCCTTTTCATCCAAGCAGCATGATTTATTTCCTCAGGTTTTCTGTTTAACTTATTCTATTTAGGTATTTTGTATTATATTTCTTAAGTATGTTTGCTCATTTAATTGTACCCAAGAATTGTTAAAAAAGGAAAATAAACAGAATATAACCAAATATTTAAATAACCAAATTATGTTAATTGTACTTTTCTGCAATTAATTGCAAAACTAATTAATCTAAACATATATTTTTTTCTTCTATTTCTACTATGTTGTAAAATTGTGACTTTATTTTTAGGAAAGTAATTTTCGAAAAATTCACAAGCTAATGGGAAACGATGTTCATTTGAAGCAGATCCTATCTTGGTGCCACAAACAGTTGTTAATACATACTTATAAGAGGCATTTTGGAAAACCATTATATTTCCAGTTTAGTGACATAGTTTGATTTCCCCTTCATATTAGAAAAAGTCTAGAAGTTTATCGCCAGTTCTGAACTTACTTTTTTCTCTTGCTGAAAAATACTGGGGAATCTTCACATGGCTGTGAAGAGCACTGTCTTATCAGACTTTCAGTTGCATCTCAGAGTTATCTAGACAAGTTCAGGTCTTGCAGTCTTGTGATCAGGGAAGCAAGGCCATAAAATCTTCATCTTGGTGCCAAATTTTAATAAAACTCCTGAAAATTGCTCACTAAGATTGAGTCTCTGCATAGGCTTGAACATCCGGTGCTGTGCACCAAGCGCTTTGGAATATCTCCACTGCTTGAAACAGGGCTTCCAGCAGCCGAAGGAAGAATATCTAGCTTGCTATGTTGCTTTCTGTTCAATTTACCTGCTACAGTTGAACAATAAAGCTTAAAATTTTCTTTATGTATTGGTTGTTCATTGTTTCTGGATCCTCAAAAGAACCATTTGACAGGTATCTGCCTGACACTTGGCAAAACAATACCTAGCTGATTTTGGATGATCCCTTCCTACCTCTGATGCTGCTGCAAAAAAAAAAAACCAGGCTTGGTCTTCATTAATACATGAATGGGATTCCACACACACAAAAACAGCATTGTAGGCTAGATCTGGAAATCTGTAAAATGCCTTGCTGAAAAGATTAGCTGTCAAGAAAACCAGATTGATTTGCCCATGTAATCAAGCTTGACTCAAGGGAATGTTTATGGATTAGGTACATTGGTCATGCCTTTCCAAAATAAAATTATTTATTTTCTATCACACATATCCAAATAATGGTCATTTTTGATGATGCTAATGTATGATGTGCTCTAGATGTCTTGGACTTGGATTTCACTATTTCTAGCCAAAGATAGTGACATATGGGAATCAAAGCTAAGATCCAATGCTCAGGCCAGCCTCTGGATTGGCTAGAAAAAAGATATACCACAACTTCAAAGAGATAGTTAAATACAGATAGGCAGGAAGTAAGGAACAAAAAAAGACACAGAAATAATCAAAAGGCTAACATTTGAAAAAGTTTTGCTCATAACCTACGTTGCTCAACAAAGTGAAACAAGACTGAAAATACAAATGATTTCCAACAACAGATTAACTTTCTCCTTCACTTGCGCTTTTAACACCTAAACAGATACTCCACTCCAGCATAGTTCTGCTTACCACAGTTTACAACCAAAGTTGTAAACATTTTCCAATTAATCCTCTTCTTCAAACTACAATTTAGCTCTCCCTAGGAAAATTCATTTCAGAGAAAAACAGTGCTGAGGGAGGCTTACTGTCTGGATGGAAGAATAATCATCCTTCCAGAGTTACACAATTCTAAATTAATGCCAGTTGAGTTGTAAGTAAACAGATATTATTCTTGTCAGAAGAAGGAACCAATTCAAAATAATAAATGAGAAAGATCTGGAGCCTGTCAGAGATGTTGTGCAAAATGTGAAATTATATCTTCCTAGGTCTATTCAAGGCCAATCATCTGTTCAAGAATAAGTTATCTCAGCTGTTGGGTTCACAAACAGGCAGTTTGCTCCTTTATATATTCATAAGGTGCACATGAAGCAAAACTCATATGAACTATGTTGGAGTATTCTGTATTTATATAGGAAGGATATTGGTGTATATGTACATCTTTTGACATGATTCCATAGATAAATGAGGATTTGGGAGTGAAATTGTGGTTGTACTGTAAAATTAGTAGAGAGGCTTAAGAAGACCAATTATATTTATTTGGCTAACAGTGGAGTACTGGATACTGAAAGTTGATAGAATTGTAGCCAAAATGAGGCAACTGCCAAATAAGTTGCGAACAATTAAAAAAAAACTGAAAATGATCAAATAAGGATGAGAGGGAGAATAAATTAGTAATCACAAAACACCCTTGGTCATTCTGTTTCTCTGTTTGTGTCAGGAAATATCTTTAAACAGATTGTGGATTGCCTAGAAAATTCGAGCATTTATTAAGAATTACTGTTATCTTCCAATGTAAGTTTTCATAGTACACTTGACTCATTGTTCCTTCCTATGTTATGTATGTGGTTGTGAAA